GAGATATCATCATTTTTGTGAACAGCTTTATGGAGCGACGACGCTTTTTGAGTCCGGGCGGATAGAAATTTTAGCCTCCAAAAACACCGGGTAGAATTAATTCCATGGTTTCCTATGTAATTTTTGGCGCTGAATCCGAGTTTGACCATTTCATAAAAAAATTGTCACCAAGATGTTGCCAAATTTGGCAAAAATTGCTTAAAATCGGCCTTTTTGGCGGATTATAGCCTGTGACTTGCCAGGAGTTGATCCCACGACAAAATTGGTTATTTCCACAGTTAAAACTCGTTAAACTATCTACGAGCTGAGTCAAATTCTTTCTGCTCACGGTAAAATTAAACGCGCGACAAGCAGCAAACTGAAAAAAAGACACCAAAATTGGCGCTTTTTGCGGTTTTTGTCGTAAGTTTCTTGTTTTCCGATTAAGAGAATGTTTCTTGACTATACTAATGAACAACATGAGCAGAATTTAATAAAATTGAACAATAAAATAAGATCGAACATATTCCAATGTTGCCAAGCTTAAACAAAATACTTTAATTTTCGCTGGTTTTTTCGATAATTGTCCTATATTCTTTGTTCACCTCTTATTTTTAAATTTTATAAATGTATCTCTCTTGCAAAATAATACACCTCCGTAGAATAATTTAATTTTCAACTTAGATATATACTAATAATTAGGGTATTTAGTTCAGAGAGGAAAAATTCATAAAATAGTGAGTTTTATCGAATCGTGTCAATAAACCACATTTTGAAACAATAATGGAAAATTTTCTGCTAAAAATTAATGAATAAAATGTACTCCTCAGACTGACTTCATTAAAACAAGACAAGACGCATTGCAATATTGCCAAAATTACGTACAAATCGTTGAATTTTGGCGGTATTTGACCGTTATTATTCATTACCCTATATTTAGTATACAATTTTATTTTATAATTCTGAGATAATGGAGTTTAATAGAAAAAAGTAACGACACCAAACTGAAGAAGACGCCAAGGAAAGGACAATAAGGGGCTTATAAAGGAACAAGGGCGCTCCAAATTACTGAGGACCTGTGGGTGGACAAGGGACTATGGCGGTTAGGCGTCGCGGGGCCCGAGAGACCGCTGTTAAAGCGGCTCTTTATCTATATATTATGTAACAATACAATAGTTTGTCGTTACACTCGGTGGAATTCAGATTTTCCTAAGAAACATTCTCTTAATCAGAAAACAAGAAACTTACGACAAAAACCGCAAAAAGCGCCAATTTTGGTGTCTTTTTTTCAGTTTGCTGCTTGTCGCGCGTTTAATTTTACCGTGAGCAGAAAGAATTTGACTCAGCTCGTAGATAGTTTAACGAGTTTTAACTGTGGAAATAACCAATTTTGTCGTGGGATCAACTCCTGGCAAGTCACAGGCTATAATCCGCCAAAAAGGCCGATTTTAAGCAATTTTTGCCAAATTTGGCAACATCTTGGTGACAATTTTTTTATGAAATGGTCAAACTCGGATTCAGCGCCAAAAATTACATAGGAAACCATGGAATTAATTCTACCCGGTGTTTTTGGAGGCTAAAATTTCTATCCGCCCGGACTCAAAAAGCGTCGTCGCTCCATAAAGCTGTTCACAAAAATGATGATATCTCGCGAACCAAAAGTTTTCCAGCGAGCTATAATATATCGATGGATGTGAAATCGAACGAACTATCGATTAGACAACTTTTTATTCAAATTTGAAGATGGCCTTTTTGGGTATTTGCGGATATGTAACATTTGTCGAATTTAAAAATCGGAAATTTGGCAATAATGCATGTTAAAATTAATGCGACATTAAAAACATGGTCATTTCCTAAAAGTGAGAATTTTCGTTAAAACCGCAACTTCATAGCTCAATTTTGATGCCACTTACGGAATTTGCCTGTTTTCAACTTGGCAACGCTGTAGCGCGCGGGAAAAATTTCGGGTGAACTTGTCAATGCCGGAAAAAGGCGTGTCTTGTGACAGGGAACAACATATCCAACTCCGGGCAAAATCCAAGCGTAGGGTAAAATCGCCGATTTTGAATAACCCTCTTTAACATAAAACAATAAATAAAATATGTAAAAAATTAAAAATAGATAAAAAAAATTGAAAAAGGGATAAAACAATAAAAAAAGATAAAAAATAGTAAATAGATAGAAAATAAAATTAAAAATAATATAGATTCAAAAAAAAAAAAATAATACAGATTTAAAAAAATAAAATAATATAAATTTAAAAAAAATAAAATTAAATTGATTGAAATAAATTATATGAGTTAAAAAAATACAATAAAATTAAATAGATTAAAAAGCATACAATAATATAAAAAAGATTAAAAAGAAAAAATTAAATAAAATAGGTTTAAAATATACAATAAAATAAAATAGATTAAAAAAATAAAGTAAAATGAATTAGATTTAAAAAATAAATAACATGAAATAGATTCAGAAAAAAATGCAATGTAAGTTTGTATACAATGTATACAATAAATGAATTAAAATAATAATAATAATTTATTTTATTTGTAAATGCACATTTATAACGGCGAAAACAAAAAATGAAAGAGATGAAAAAAATGAAATGAAATAATTTCAAATAAATAAAAAATAGAAAAATAGATCCAAAAAATTAAAATAATAAAATAAAATAGATTCAAATCAATAAAGTGATAAAAACAAAATATTTTAAAATACTCAAATAGTCACGATATGGTGATGTTGCTGAATAAAAATGACGGATAAGTTTGCAATCTGATGTTATATTGTAATGTTTTTAGTAACGTTTCTAAAATATGACGCAGCAATATTGTGCGCAATTTTTTCATGAAATATTATTGAGATATTGCTAAATAATGTTTGCGGGTGATGTTATTGTGCAATGTCATTGTAAGTTCCTGGCAACGTTTCCGAAAGTAGTTCTTAGTGATGTTGTCATGAAATATTGCAGCAACATTGCAATCATGTTACGTGGACAATATTGCTAGAGCAATATAACCTGCAAAATTACACCCAGCCCCTGTGCAGGGTAGATGGTGGTATCCTAGGTAATTGAAACCAAGAAACCTGAATTCCATGGTTTCGGAGCTTCCCTGACCATTCTTCATGTCAATTACTTAGGATACCAATTTTTTCCGAAGAATCTACGTCGATGTTGCGACCAAATAGCAATTTTTTGAGGAAACATCGGACCCCTTTTTATGGAGAGTTATTTTTGGGCGTTGAATGGGTGAGCTTATAGACTTGGGGATCAATTATGGTTTAAATTTGTTGCACTCTTCAATTTGGATGCAATCAATTTGCGATTCGGAAAGGAGCCTTGACTTTTAAAATCGAGCTCCCTTGTTTATTCCCGAAGGACTAGGGACCCCTCGGGGCAATAAAATTCGGATTCCTTGGGATCAATTACTTGGGTTGCCATTTTTCCCCGGAGACTCTACATCATTTTTGCAACCAAAGAGAAATTATAAAGGAGGGTTACTGTCCCGCACCTCACGGTGTCATTTTTGGGCATAGGGTGGGCCGATTTTGGATTAGGGTTCAATCTACTGTGGATTTTCTTTGCTTATCAATTCTAATGCAATTAAATATCAAATTGGTCGGGAACCCCTACTTTTAGGATCGTGACCTCCCTTTTACCCTTTAAGGGCCGGGGGGTGGGAGGGGAGGTTCCGTTACCACGAAATTCAGATTCCATAGGGTTGATTCTTTATTCAACTCCGCGGTCCCTGACTTCGTGCAACCTATTACAATCGAGAAAAAAGTCTGGTGCGGGTGGTCTGGGACACCCTGTATAATTCAATCTTTATACACAGTTATGCAAAAATCACCTACCTACCACCCCTGTAACTTTTTTCCAAACTGATTTCGAAATTGGAAACTTTGAGGATGTTCCTAGGTCTGTATTAACTTTTTGATTCCCAAAATTTTGGAGGGCAGTTCTCTCCAAGGGGGTCGGGGGGGGAACTTTGTTTTTCAAATGGCAGCCCCCTTTTTGGGGTCCCTCATGCGAAATACAAAAATAAAGAAAAATTTTGAAGCAATTCGCGGGTCAAAATGTTGATTTTTTACAAAATAATGGCCGGTCATAGTTGAAGATAATGGGAATCTGGCATGAATAATTTTCAGAAGGTGGAAACTTAGTGTAATGGACGTTTACTGCTTGATTCGCATGTGACTCGGCCGCCATTTTTGAAGTATTTAGCATTTCAAAATTGTGAAAGAGTCAATTTTCCGGGCCAGAAACCACAAGGGCACTAAGTCTCACGCGAATTCATCAGTAAACGTCCGTAATACCAAGTTCTCGCCATTTTGAAGTTATTCAGAATTTAAATTATCCAATGAAATATTTTTTTCGTGCCGAAGTACCCCCGGACGCCAAGCTTCATGCAACTTCACCGATAAGCAGTCTAAATATCTATTTGAGCCCGGTCTGAGTTGCCATTTTGACTGCCGCCATTTTGAAAATGACTAAATTTTCCAAAAAATTAATGCCAGAATAGCTTCTCTCGTTCCAAGAAACCTCAGGATATCGCCCGGTCCGTCGGCAAAGACGGAGATGCCAAATTTTCGTTATCTTCAACTTTGACCGGCCGCCATTTTGTGAAAAATCGACATACAACCTGCGGATTGCGACAAAATTTTTCTTTTTTATTATCGTTTGAATGAAGGGTCCCAAAAAGGGGGTTGTCATTTGGAAAGAAGTTGCGTCGACCTCCCTTGGAGGGGGGCACCACCATCCAAAATTTTGGGGAGGACCAAAAAGTTGCAACTTTAGATCTAGGAACATCTCCGAAGTTTCAAATTGCGGTGTCAACAAGGAAAAAGTCACAGAAGTGGAAAGCTGACTTTCGGACAACCCGGTACAGGTGCTTGGCCATTTTATTTCCTTGTTTAAATGTTTTTTTGAGAGATGAAAATCAAACTCAGCTACAAAGGATCAGGGACATGTTATACGAGGACAGAAATGACAGTTATCCTTTTTTCTTTTTCTTTTGCAGATCGCCCTCACAATGTGCCAAGATATAATTACGACGGAAGTAACCGGTAGTGGATCAGGTCCAACCGAATTATATCCAGTATTTAGCAGTAGTCCAGAAGCCGTAGTAGCAGAAGAAACGCTTCAAGATGGCAGAGGAAATCCTGTGATAGTTCCTAATGATACTCGAGATGCATTAGCTCACGATAGTAGTGACCAAAATTCAGTGAGTACAATTTTAGTTTCATCATATTTTTAGGTACTTGGACATGAGCAATCTCTCCATTCCTTTTTGTGACTCTGCAAAACTTGTTCCTCTTGCAGCCAGCATTCATTGTAACCTCTCGTACCACCAAAACAAGCGATGGTAGGAAGAACCGGGAAGCTCAAAAATACGATCCTGATCAGGGTGTTCATTTTTCAAGACAAACTGGAATGATTTGGTAAAGAGTGCTTTTTGCCACAGATTTTCAACTTCAATGCTATATTACGATGAAAACTGTGTTCCATATTCAAGTTTGTTGTTGAATGCTAAGTTTTCCTAGCCAATACTATGTAAGGACACTGTCTTTCCAGTGTTGTCAGCTTTCCGTTCTCATCATTAAGTCGCTGCAGCTCTAGCCACTAGTGATACTACTGCTAGAGTTTGTCTCTAATTAGCTAATCCATTAGGTACTCTGCATCCGCAACGTTGCAATTCCATATTTTTGCCTCTTTTTGAGACAATCATAAACCTCAGGACTAGAACGATAAGATCTAGAACCCCACTTACAGAACTGAATTAGCCTCCCTTCTTCTTTTTCTATCATAACTCAACAAAGTCCAGTTACTTCTTCATTATAGTGTGTTCAATGGCTCATTTGAAGGGGGAAACCTTAAAATGGGAAAAAATTTGGAAATTTTTCATGTAACCTATTTGGTTGTGCATAGATTGTGCGGGTTGCATACACTTGTCTCTGAAAACTGTGAAATATTTCAAGACATTGTGTTTACGCAAACTGATTGCAGTAGACGCACGGGTCGTAGGACGGTAAGTTGGAATTTTTTACCCAATGTTGGGTATTTAACTTTAATTTTAAGTCATTTTTGTAATATTTTTCTTATTAGCATAAGTCATCGAATGTTGTGTCGTTGCCCCCTCTTTTTCTCGTAGCACTCTTTCTAAAAGGAAAGAATGGACCTTTCTCTTTATCTTTCAACTGAAATGAATAGCCTCCTGCACGCTTCCCCTTGCATGGATCACATGTCGCTATCCTTCTCGCTCCTCTCTCACGTATGTATGTGTCTATCTCTCTCTAATCTTCAACCCTCGGCTCTGCATTTCTTCTCGCTCTCACTACCTCATCCAACGTTGCTCTCTCTCTCTCTCTCTTCACCACCCCCGCTTGTCTTGAGGACTCCACTGCGCATGTGCGGCGCGAGATGCGGTGCATCCCTTGGAGTAAAATCAGTTGAGAGAGCCGCGTTAGTCCTCGTCAGCTCTTCGCTCCGAATCAACCTCACGCTCTTGCGACTCCGTCAAATGCGGAAAACTTTCTCGTGAGGTCTATCTCTTGAGGCAACGATACAAACATCGCAGATTGTTTGTATTCCTCAAAATAAACTTCAACTTCACCTGCATATCGATTGGTTCACTATCATTTTATCAAGTACGTTTCACCTGGGATGACCTCAGCACAGAAGGCTTCGCAATACGACTTGTCGTGTTGACTTCTGGGCTGTCTCCCTGATTTTTGCTCTCTTATACGGTACGAGTGGCATCTTCGTGTTGACACTCGTGCTGTTGAGAAATCTACTTAGTTTTTTAATAAGTTGGTCCCTCGGTAAACATCGAGAATTCGGCGACGGATTCCTCTCTTTACCCAACGTGCGTTAAAAATTAGCATACTTAAAGCTGAAAATCTCAATACAGAGGAAAAAAGCTCATACGAGCCCATTTTTTCCTCAAAGAGTTCCTCTGTTTGGTGCAACACTAGTACCGTCAGTTGGTCTAACATGAGCCTCGGGGGTAACATGAGCCGTTTGGGGATTTTTTTTTCTCTTGCCTGTGGCAGCACTGTTGCGAAAGTAAACAACGAAAACAACAACATGATGTGATAGTGGCGTGTCTTGGCGGAATTTCAATGGTATAGAGACACATTTTTCCATCGATAAGAAATTTTTATAAATTATTTAGTTTTTAGAAATTTTTGCCCCTTTTCCTACCTCTGAAACTAACCTTCTTGAAAAGTGACTATCGATAATCACAGAATAATTTCGCCGGTCGCCGAACCTCACAAATACCTCCAACTTTCATGCCCATGCATTGGATTTTGAACATTTTAGTTTTTGACCGATTTTTTTTGGAAAAACCAAAATTTTGGAATGTTGGAGGTAACTTGAGCCACCCAATTTTCGCAAGTCCTCCAGGAACAATCTATACAGTAATGGTTTTCATGATACATTCTTAGTAAAATTGGCATTCCTTTAGAGCATAAATCAACTCCTTCACGTATCTTCCATATTTACTGTTCGTCTTTTTAAGACTTGTATACTATATATACTTATATAAGAAAAAAAAAGAAAAAAACACTAAGAAGTGGCCCGAACTGTATGGAACAAGGTGAAGAAATGGTGCTGAGTCCACACCATTTTGCGGGGAAAACAAAGCCAAAAAGTTCCAAAAATAAAAATTAAAGTCAATATTAATTCTATACTTATATATATACTACTATAAATAAAAGTGAATCTAACGTAGTCCAAAATACTACTATATATATACTTTTTAAGAAACTTTGACTAATCTCTCTTGACTTTAGGTCCCATTTGTCTTGTCGGTGTGCCTTTAAAGTAACTTAGTGCTATTGATCGTTAAATGATTTCCTGTTAGATACAAGGTTTTAGATGTTAAATGTATTTGTTCGCCTGAAATTTGACGTAAATTGTAGGAAAATTAAAATTTTGTTCGTTTTTAGCCTGGTTTTTAATGTTTTGTAACTCAATTTTTTTTAAAAAACTTTTGGGAGGCTCATGTAAGCCTAAAGTAGGCTTACATGTGCCTTTAAATTAAAAACAATAGGGTGGCTCATGTTACCCCACCTTGCAGGTAACATGAGCCACCTCAATTTTTTTTAAAAAAAAAATACTAAGTTTGCTGGAAAATTTTTTCAATGGGCTATTCTTACTCTTCTATGTGGGACTGATCTACAACAAAAATTGGTTGCATGAAAAAAAAATTTACTGCAAAAATGCAAAGCCTCAAAGTCAAAAACCGGCTCATGTTAGACCAACTGACGGTAACGACCATTCCGACGGACGACCTCTCCGAGCAGCAGGAAATTCAGGAGGCTGCGCTGCACTATGAGGATTGACCCAATAAGGCCGGAACACGTCTGCAGTTGCCTTCCTGAATGGTCGTCACTAGTGTCGCACCAAACAGCGTATCTCTTTGAATGAAAATTGTGCTTTAAGCACTTTCCCTCTTTGATGGGATTTTCAGCTTCATGCTGATTTTTAACGCACGTTGGCTAAAAAATTCCAACACACCTAATGACATTGTGTTTCACAAAGTATTTCAATGAGGCTCCAAATCTTTCCCAAATTGTTTTCCTTCCAAGACACTCCCCTGGCCAGCATAACGGGAGCCCGGTTGGTTTTCCCCAATTTGATAGGAGGGCTCTTGGCCCACAGGAGTCCCCCTCGATCTCACCAAACACAAGGCTGCCCTTTAACGAAAGTGTCAAAATGTCACAATGTTTTGTGTAAGGATTATCTTTTTCAGAGTGACAATATCCACGACAAAATGACGATTTGGTTTCAGCGACTTTCGTTCTTTGTTGAGTCTTGGTGATTCGTTTTGTCATTGTCGGCTATCGCCTCAGATCAGATGTACGGCCTTCGGCGAAATGGTACCGTTTATCAGCGCTTTGAACCATTCTTTCGACAATTAAAACCGTTTGCTGAGTGTCGGGCATCTTCCGTTGCGTCAAAACAGAGCTTCTCCAAGCGACTCCGCAATTAAAATATGCCCGCCTTCACTGTCGGCCTGACAATGTGTTCGTCAGAAAGTCACCACTTTCATGTGGAGTAGGTACCTTCAGCTCCAAACTGTCCCGATCGATTCAAGATGTGGACACTGGACTCTCCTTAAACCAGAAGAAGATCTCTAGCGGCAGTGTCCTACATCATATCATCATTTTCATTAATGTAAGAGTGGAAGGATTTCACCTTTTAGTCTATTCAAACTTTTCTATTTCACTCGAGTGGAAGTGTCCCTTCCCCGCCTCTTTTCCCCACCCACCTTGTATTCGAGTCCGGTAAGGTTGCCAGATAGTGCAATAAATGTGAATATTTTACATGGGCTCAAACTGGGAAAGAGCTGAAAAAGCAACTTATCTAGCATCAGTAGAGTCTCGGGGGGACGAGAGGCTGCCTTCCTGAGAAAACCTATGATTTAGCCGGAAATGTCATGAAAACAAATTGATTCCGTTTGAAGCATCAAATGTATTCTAGGGAAAGCTTTTTTAATATAATAATTGTAAATGGACACAGATGTTACAAAAGAGGAAAAAATGAATGGTTAGGAAATGAAATGAGGATAAAATTATCGGTGCAAATCAAAGAAAATAAAACAAAAAAAATCAGAGAAATTTACATGTAATGAAACTACAATGGATATCGCGTATAACGACCGACGTCGGTTATAGTGACATATCGGTCATAGCGACGGAGTTTCCGCGGAATTTAGGGTCCTGTTATCGGTTACAGCGGCTTTGTTTTGGTGTTGCTTGATTGATAAACGCACCGCAAAAGGATTTTTTATAATGTGGAAAAGAGGGAACTAGTAAGAATTTAAATACCTGGAATAAATGGCACAACTCGGCTCTTGCAAACTCATTAAATTCGGTCCATAATTCCATGCAAATGGCGTACATAAATACTCAAGTCAAACAGAAGAAAATTACGGACTATTTTTCAAATTAAATCATTTTTGGTTTTTTCATTGGGTCTTTTCCCGAAAACAATTTTAACTTTAAAGTGTGTAAAGTTTTTTGATAAAAAATATAAAAGGTTTTAAACAAAATTTATACAAAAATATTGTTTAAAAAAATTAATGAATACTTAAATTAAAATTTGGTGTATCTACAAACTTTTAATTTTTTCGAAGTTTATAATAATAAGGGTGAAAGCTAGTCGATTATTTTATATTAAAAATGTAAAAGAAAACACAAGATAGATAAGAGAAGT